GTGCTGAATTTCGAGAAGGGTTCCCATTACCCGTTTGTGAAGCACCCAGATGTCTGTGCTGACGAGATCCTGCAGCTGCTCCAGAGGAAGCCTTCCTCATCCTAGTCCTGCCTCCCTCTGTGGAAAAAAGGAGGGGGGGGGGGGGGGGGGGGGGGTGGAGCTGCACTGGCCGCACCCATCTTCTTTCTTTGTTACGTCCAGGGCAATGTCACTGCATGTGCAGGACTGCACTCTCGCATCATTGTTTCTAAGTGCCTCAGATTATGGAGTAACGACAATGAACTGGTGTTTACTGCAAGTTTATGAGCTGACACCATTCATGTTCCCCTATATATGAGTGGTGATTAATAAAACTAGGTATAATATTTATAGATGCTCCTCCATAATTAGTGGAATCTCTGCCATCAGTGTGAACTCTGCAGCCTATTGAAAATAAAGGTATGTGCTCTATGAACCCCTCAGAGGAAAAAGCGCCATCTGTCATACGCAACAGCAACCAGCGCCAGCCGCCATGCTGCAGGGTCTGCAGGGTAGTGGGGTGTCGTTGCATATGCTGTATAGACCCCTCAGAGGAAAAAGCGCCATCTGTTGACACAATGGCAGCCAGCGCCAGCCGCCATGATGCAGGGTAGTGGGGCGTCGTTGCATACGCTGTATATGCCGTAGACGCTAGTCTGACTGCATCTGCTCCACGGCCACGATGCCAACGTACCGCTGCGTACCCCTCTGTAAGCATAGTGTGTATGTATTCGTAGATGAACCCGTTAACGGGAGTCGGTCGGGTTTTGTTATTCAGCGGCACAGCTGCGCAGATGTTTGCCTGCTCAAGTGCAAGAACGAAACACGAGCCGTTCCCACCCAACACTCCTTGGGCAATTGAGTCCGGTGTTTTTAATCTCACTTTGTTGCATTTGGGGGTAGAGTTTTTAATTTTTAGCTAATTTGAAAAAATCAAAGTGTCAAGATGTAATGTTGCTCATGGTACCACTTGTGCAATCACAGTTTCGCGAAGGGGTAGCATACATATTCGCGAGCTCGTGGTGCTTCCAACTTGCGCATCTGAATTATGTAGGTACGCACGAAGCCATACAATCTCGCGCTTTAATGCCCTGACGCATAGTTGCAATTGAGAGCGTTTGACTGTGTTTGACTGCGTTGCAGCCGCAAGAAACCAGGACGTCCCTGCTCCTTATGTCGCATGCCAAGCTACTCCTTGAATTGTGTTCCATGCTTCATACGAAGCAGAGATGTGCCGGTGACTCAACATTAGTTTTTTGACGCAACGCAGTCAAACACTCGAATGCAACTGTGCATAGGGGCTTTGCCTGTAGTGCTGTGCAGCACATGCTTTATGCCAAGCAGCATGCACATGCTTGCAGCTTTTGCTTCCCTACAAAGCTGCTGCTCTACGACTACAGGATGTTTCAACATAAAGCTTCGACTCTAAAATTGCCTGCAAAAGTCAGGGACTCAAGGTATCAAGTAGAAACTTACATTGAATGCGTCTTTTGGAGGTCAAATTTGCGCGTTAATATTTTAGGTCTTAATTCCAAGTACAAAAAGAAAATCCCCAAAAGGTTTGTTTTTATTTTTTTGTAGTACTTGAAGTAGACTTGACTATTGTGTAAATGGGACAAGTAAAATACGCATTTGAGGCAAGTATTAACTTGATCCACTCAGATGCTGATTTTTGACGGGATATTAATTGTAGCTTGTAACTTTATTTTGAGATGCTCAAAAATAAGTGGCTCAACGAATCAAGTTGAAGCTTACTTTGAATAAATATTTTACTAGTCCCATTGACACGTTAAAATTTTAAGTCTCTACTTTAAATACAAAAAGAAAGAAAAAACTGACCCATTTAAAAGCAAGGCTTTTTTGTCTGAAATTTGGACTTAAATTTTTTAAATGCATAAATCCGACCAGTAAAATATGTATTCGAGGTAAGTTTCTACTCATATGTCGAGTCCCTTATTTTGGCAGGCGATTTTAGAGTCTAAACTTAATTCTGAAGCACCTTGTAAAAATGTTTTTCTTGTTTTTGTAATTTTTATTGCATATTATCATTCATTAAAACCTGCACTAACGATGGCTCGTGTGGATCTAAGTATTTCAACACGAAGAATAAATCTGCAGTGTAGAAGTTTGGGAGGGCCGGAAGGAGCGGGGCAGATTTCTGGCTCTTAGAATTATGCAAGTCATCAAACATAAAAGTAGCGTAATCCCGCTCTAATCGCCCAGCTCAGCCAGAGTGGTACATGCATTTTAATAACACTTAATATTGTAATGGCGGATTTAATTCCACAGGTTTCCAAAAAACATGGAGAACTATAAAAGATGGATCGCACCAAAATGAGAAAGTTGTAGCTTTAGTCGAAGGGGCGCTCTGATTCCGATCGGCTCGTGTAGAGTTGGGAAATGTCGTTTACCCAACCCGTGATAGGGAGAGCGCCACTTGCAGCCATACAGAGGCGAAGTGATTGAGGAAACGCAAGAACGCCACAGTGTAAACAACTGCACCGGCCGCAACGGGTCCTTCACCATGGCGTCGGCCGCCCAATGTTGCTGGACTCTTTAGCGGATTTTTGCTGTTGCCAGACTTTTTGGAAGGGATCTATACACCTTTCCAAAAAACACTCCTAGGCCACCGCCATGTTGCTGATGCTGATGTGGCTGGTGCGACGATCGCGCCCCCTATCGGGTAGAAATTTTCTGCCACTCTCTTGGACTGTAGAAACTCGCTCAGCACGATTCTCTACCTATGTTTGGCGCTTTTGCATTCAATGTTTTCTGGCCCCTCTTGAAAGTTTCCACTTAATTTTTCTGATGCATGCTGCATACACTCTCTGTGTTATCTTCCTCTGTGAGAAATAGGGCTGGTAAGTGCCTGCCATTCAAGTGTTCCTGCTTGACATTCATGGGAAATGAAGGAGGGGAAGGACGTTAAAATGGCCCTCCACGCGATTTGGCAAACAATGACAACTGTTCTCGCTCCTCCCAGAGGTAATCCGCATAGAATATCCTTCTCAGTCATAGCCAAAAATAGTTGTTCGGGTTAGAGTCAGCCACGCCAATTCCCTTACATTGTTTCAATGTTAGCACTCGCTAAATTGTATGTCCGTGTGCTGTCCATCTGTAAACACATTATTGGTGAAAAATGCATGCCTTTCGGCTATCTTCCGTTGTAGTTATTTTCGACAGCTGAGCGCTTTGTCGTTTGACACATGGCTATTTGGGTGACGCCGTCAAAACTTGTCGTAAAAAAAAAAAAAATAAAATTTTTAGTTGCATTTGTTTTATTGCGTGCATACCCAGCAAAAATAGTTTACTGTATATTTTTTTTTTTTGCTTTTTTTTTATTAGATGTGGTACAAGGCTTTCTCAATGTCCTCGGGAAAATACATGCACCATGAAACACAAAATACAGTGGAAGAAGACTTGAATTTTGCCGCCAGCAGTGTTTGTAACTGAGCCTATGCAGACTGCACCTATCGAAATCACAGTCCACTCGGTTAGGGTTAGCAGGGACGTTGGTGAGAGTCTAGCTTCAAACCCAGTGACTAAGCTTGAAAACGGTTTGTTGCCCCTGGGGTCGAGTGTTTTTTGGAAGAAGGTAGGGCGAGGGAAAGGAGGAAATGGAGGCAATGCTGGCGAGGGGAGAAAGAAACCCGCTCCTCTCGCCAGCGTTGCGTCTTCCTCCACTCCCATCATCCTTTCACACGCCCTATAACGGGTCCATATCACAAGAGCGAATGACATTTTAGCGAACGGCGACATTTGAGCGAATGGTCGTTTTAGCGAATAACGGGGGCGCGCGTTAACCCATCCGTCGCGCTGCGCTTTACGCCGCTTCGCGGCGACAGTCTACGGCAACTCATTACAAAAATATGAACTCACTTGGCCCACCCGAAAACGCCGCTTCGCGGCGTCCGACTATTCGCTAAAGTGTCGTTCGATGAAACGTGGGCGTTCGCTAAAACGTCATTCGATCAAGTGAGTGCCTCCCCCCTATAACCTGCAACATGCTATATGGTATGTTGCAGGCAACGTTACTAAAACACGTTGGTTGCAGGTTAAGAATGTTTAAAATTTAAAACAAAGTTTAAAATAAATTACATTTTGCCAGGTTTCGGGTGCATCGAATCTGGGCTCGACAGCTTTTGGTCTGATAGTTTGCTCTTGTAAACAGTTAGAATCTAGTCATTATTTGCTTCCGAATCATGAACACAGGGGTCAAATTCTTTGGCCCTTTTTCTCATTTTGCTTCAAGGTTTTGCATCTCTTTTGAGATTTGACCGGTGCTCTCCTGTCTATACTGGGGCTGGTAGAAAGAGCTAGAGCCAGGAAATACAGCGGGAAAAGAGGAGAATTTAGCCGCGAGCAGTGTTTGAAACTGCGCCTATCAAATTCACAGTCCACTCGTTTAGGGTTAGCAGGGACGTCGGTGAGAGCCTAGCGGCCTAGCCTCAAACTCAGTGACTGGGCTCGAAAGCGGTTTGCTGCCTCTGGGGTCGAGTGTTTCTTGGAAAGGTGTATAGCAGACATAGCAGACTGCAGTAATGAGCAACGTTGAGCAACGTTAGAAAGGTGGGAAGAGTCATATGTTTGTCTTTTCAGACTAGGCTAGGTGGCGCAAGCTACCGCCCGTTACAAAGCCTTTAACATCTATCCATTTATTTAGGGGGCCATCTCGGCGACTAGAGGCCAAGGCTAGTGGTTTTTTCTTCAATATTTTGGGGATGTACAAAACGACAATAGTTTTAAACATAATAAAGGAACATTTTACAATAATTTGCGCTAAGTTGTGCGCCACGTAAGAAAGTAAATTTGTTTAAAAAACTGACTGTGCGGCATCAAGCAGCAGACGATGCGGGGACGTCACGCCACGTATGTATGATCTCTATGCATTCACGTGACCCGCTCCGGCCAACCCGAAAAAACCTATCTCCGCTGCGTAAAAGAATCGTCTGCTTCAAACGCCACTGCCTGGGAAATTGCCTTCTCAAAATTTCCACACGCATCCAGTATTATAAAAACTAGTTTCGAAAAGTGTGAACTCTTTGTTTATTTTTTTAATCAGCCGGGTTGCGTCGATCTTCTCTTCATGTGTTTTCCCCATAGCGATCATACGTTTTCTCCTGGAAAACCGTGGTAAAGTGAACTAGAGGAGGCCTCTAGTTCACTTTAACCGTGGGCACGGAGTAGCGTAGCATCGGTAGTACCACGTGACTCGCGCCGAGCAGCCAGAGCACGAGCGATTCGGAGGAGGAATAATGAAAGGTCACGTGACCCGACGTCACCGGAAGTGACGTCACAAATATAACGTCACGTGACAAAAAAATTTTGTTTTGCTTGTTTTTGTTTTTTGTGACGTCACGGTTTTTAGCGAGGAAACTTTTCGTTATTTTTACTTTGTTGACGTATTATTTTTTTTTATTTTGTTTATTTTCTTGCTTTTTGCAACCGCGTGAACGCGTTTTCTGCGCTACAGACTGTGTTTTTCCGACTCCTTTGTTTGATATCGTGTCGTATCGCCGTATTTATGGAGTTATTAGGAACGGCAAGCCTACGTTGTTGCGTCCTTTACCTGAATATCGTGACCGAATCGAGTGTCGTCGATTTGAATCGTGTCTTGCGAACCATCGTCGAACAAAAGGTGAGTGATTTACGTTTTCCTGCGATGTGATTTCGATGTGTTCGTTCCACGCGTCCGAGCTGCTTCTTCGTTTCAAATACATTTGGCGCCGCTGCCTATTGTTTGAGCCTGTGCTCACGATTAAAACACGCATCGCAGAAAGCTGAAAGCCCGCCAAAAGAGCTCTAAAAACCGCATGCCTCCGACCCCAGACCTGCCGTCAGACTTCCGAGCTAAGCCTGATTAAACAAAAACGTTTGATCCGACGGAATAATGTGTTTGATATTACATCTCATGTCAACAAGGAACTGCGCTGTCTGTCTTCGCCCGCAACAGGTTTTATTCTTCCGGGTTTTTCAAATCTTTACCAACCCGCGTCCGATCGTAATACCCCGATCACAACAAATAGTTGGTCGTGCTCCGATGGCTCTTAACATCAGCCGGCAAGGAAGTTACGTTTTTCGCTTCTATATCTTGACCCAAGTAAACTCATGTTCTCAAACTATGTCATTCTGTCACCACCTCCAGCTGCACATTCTGGCGCACTTGCAGCTTCGTGCACCCTTGCGAGGTTTCCTGCTATCGTACCCTGGATATCATGGATTTCTCGCCGTACGCGAGTGCTCACGGAGGCGTGCTATACACTCTGTTTCATAAGTTGTGTGCAGCAAAGGCGCAGGCCCGAGCACATGACAATAAAAAGCGCCTTTTTTGCACGAGTACCCGCGCAAAAAGAACATTCTGCAGAGCTGCGCCCTCGCACCCGTGCTTTGCTGCACACAACTTATGAGACAGGATAATAACCGAGCCGTTTTTGTTTCTTTTGCACGTTACTGTGAAAGAAGTGTCATTGCTGTTTTCTTCTCAAAGAAAACTCAGAGACGTTAGACAAAAGCAAACAGATAGGAGACTGCACATTCATACGTTTTTCCCCCTTGTGCTACAGGTCATGGCTGGTCGCGGTTCATCAGCGTTTGTTTTGAAACTGATGGGTACCACAAGGCATGAAAGAGGTGACTTGCAGCAGCAAGACACTGCAAGCCTTCGCAGCAACTGGCTAGCCAGTGCTGCTCTGTTCTGAACTGCACTGCGTGTCATGCGGAGGGTTTGTGCAAGCTCTCTGGGCAGCGACGCTAGCCACGGTAAGTGCATTCTATGCAGCTTTCTTTTAGGGATATATGTGGCTCGCAGGCCATGTCGTGCCAGCGAAATATGTGCCACCCGAGTGACAGCAGTCCTAGTCGCAAGGCTGCGCCGACAGTAATCAGCAGTGCACTGTGTTTTCATTCAATAATTAGTGACAAGGAACCAAATACTCCCGAGAGAGTCTCGGTGGTGCTTTGATGAACTCCAGCTCGCTTATGAACAGGTGGATGGCACAGATGGCTTTTCCTGGTGGACTTGGTGTCTGTGTTAACAATGCAACCAGACTTTCTTTCAGTTTGTGGCGTTTTTTCGTTGCGGGTGACCAGCATTGCAGTAGAAAAAGGTGCCAAATAGTATAATGTTTGCATTCGTTACCTAAATTAATGGCAAGAACAACTGACCTACATTTCCACCGACTGCATTTCTCGGAGGAATAGCCTGGACTAAAAAGCTCGCTACACTATGTCGTTCCCTCTTAGCCTGTACAACTCTGCGTCTTCCCTCGATTTGTCTTATCTGGCTGCTTCTGTGTCTGCCTAGGCACTCGGTGGAAATGGGGAAAGCTGTCTGCGTTGCACATAACCGCCATAAGAGCCAGCGTGGGCGTAGCTGGGGTAGCCCCCACTATGGCTTCTCCAGCTCGACACAAGTAACATTCCTACCGCTGTCGTGTTAGCAGAAAACAGACCTGCTTAAAACGTACAGTGCACGTAGTACACAATGGAGTGGTTGCTCGCCAATCATTTTCTTGGGAGTGTGAGTTGAGCCCCTTCGAGGCAGTTTGCTTCCGCACCGTGCACTATAATCGGCCCGAGAAGAGAAAACAAGATGAATAACCAGTAGGATTTCTTTGTTCCAAGGCTTCTTGACGCAGAAAAAGACTAGGGAACCAGTATTGTTGCTTTTTTGCTACCCCGTGCGAGACTCAAACCCGACATGCAAGGAAGTGGAAAGACCTCTTCCTTTCTGCTTTCTTGTGCCTTGGGTTTTAGTTGTGTTCACAATTCACAGCTCGCTTGCATGCCTACTCTTTTGTTCACTGTGTTACTGAAGTTTTTTGTCGTTGCTGTCCCAGATTGGCTTCATGGATGCACAGAAATACTCAAGGCGCTTGACGTCTGTGGCTCATCTGTATTGTTTTTCCCGGTACCACGGCATGGAAGGAGCTGGCCTCCCTCCCTTCCATCAGCTGCGATATACTACAAGCACTGGGCTACAGCTGCAGCTAGCCCATGGGTACCGTTCTGCGTCCTGTACTGCATCTAGTTTGAAAGGCCATGTGAAAGGCAGGTGTGGTCTTTATGGGCTCTGTCACTATGTACATTTTCTGCAGCTTTTTCGGGGCAACTTCATATTAAGATTCAATACGGACTTGAGTGAGAGGGGGGCATTCTGAGAAAGCCAGCCTCTTTCTTAAACCATTGGGACTGGTATTATATCTATAGAGTTTATTTACACCTTACGTTATGTACTTTTTTATTTATTTTTATTTTGCTAGTTACTTATACTTCAATCTGACACGACAGCCACCAAAAATGGGGAAAGGACAAAAATGTTGACATATTGGCCTTTTTTTTTTCTGGCAGTTTCTTTGAAGAGTCAATGTTGGGGGCAGTCATTCATGTTATTTTTCCCACACGCACGTCCATCCTATGTTTACGTAGAGCCCCAATTGCCCCTTAGCAACAAAAATAATTTATGCGACAGACTAGGCGGCAGCATTGCGGACGAAAACAGGCCAGATTATATCTGCCATGTTTAAAAACTACATTTGGTGACAGGTTATGAATTCAGTGGCAAAATGCACACCGCCTGCCAATCACTGCCGTCAGTTGTCGTGACGTCACGTCCTGCTAAGAAACTAGAAACCAGTATATATTTTTTTTAAATGGCAGGTTTTGGTTGCTGATGCCACGTAGCACGTCGGCACTCTAAGCAATTCTTCTGCTCTTGGCCTCCGGTTTTACCTTGCAAAGTCATGACGGTGTCTGCTTTTGTTTGCGGTATTTCCCGTGTGTCGACGTGAGAAGGCAGCGGTTGTATCGCCAAGGAAGTAGCGATCAATCTGCGCATTTGTTCCAGCGGCATAGCATTTACAAACCGGACTTTGCCCTTCACCGAGGAGAAAGTCTACCGACTGGCCCCACAGTTGGCGAGCATTGTGCAGCCGTGAGCGCGTAACTTGTCCGAATGCTTTCGTCTGTGTACAGTGACAAAAGGACTCGGTGAAATGCGAAGTACCATACAGTACCATGCCGTACAGCAAACCATCAATCGCTGCAGCAACTTTGCGTTTTAAGTCATAATAATAAAGTGATTTTTAGGCTAAAATCATTTTTTCATACTGCTCAATTATTCGGAATTCTGCACGATCCCCATTGGGTCTACAATATCGGTCGGTGGCTGTATAACCTTTAAACTCAATGGTTACACACCACAGGTACCGGGGACCATGACATCAATGAGCTGGCTTTCACCTTGTCCAAGGCAGCAGCGGAACACTACGGGCGGGACCCTGGATCACTGCACCATGGATGCCGTCCTGTACCCTTCACGGCACTGCGTGTGGCTTAAAGGGGTCATGAAACGCTTTTCCAACTTTTTCCTGTTTCGCTTTCCTCCTCAACTCATAAATCGCGCATTCCACCAAACAGAAGACGAAAAGGGGGAGTCCCCTCTTGCTCGCACTCTCGTTTGTGTAATCCCGGACACATCCATTCTCCCCCTAGAAGATTAGCCCGTCGCTCAAAATTCAGACAAAAGTTGCTTTCCCCACCCCGTTCATTCCGAAGCTGACAGTGCTGTTGAAGCTACGTGCTCGTTAGGCCAGCCACACTTGCCACGTGAGCGTGGCAAATGTGGCTGCAGAGAATGAAGTCAGGTGATGAAAGGGAGGCGGCTGATTGGTCCGGCAAGCGCGTAGCTTCCACCACAATGTCAGCTTAGGGGTGAAGGGAATAAGTGAGGTCCGGTTGCGTGTGACGTCAGTTTGGACCCGATAACGCGCTTTTGGGACCGCGGATGTATCACAGTGAAAAGGCAGAGAGATTGCGAAGGGGAGGAGGTACGAAATAGTCCGTTCTGTTTTCAAATTTTCGCACTGAAACTCAGGCTTTTGACTTTCTACCTTTTTTCTTTTGGTCCACTGAACGATGTGCTATTAGTAAAATCCCAATCTAAAATGATTTATCCCAACCCAAAAATCGTTTCATGGGCCCTTTAAGTGGCCAAGCAGAGGGTCATTGCATGACTTTTATGAGGCGCCGCTAGCCATTGTAAGTATATTTTGGATACTCATGTCTGGTGATGTACTTTTGTGCTCTACCACAGAGCACATTTGGTGGCGGTTCAGTCTTGCCAATTACACCATTTTGAAACGGAACACATTTAGTGGTGGCTCGGTGATCTTGCAACAGTGTCTAGACTTGGCGTAAACCTTTTTGTACTTCATTGTCAAGGCTAGTGTAATTTCTGCAATGCCGTTAAAGCCACTTCTGCACGCAAACAAGATAAAAGTCGGAGCCACATGCTCGTGCACAGTGTATGACTACATGTATGCATGGGCACTCGTGCCCATGCATACCCACTCGCAACATGGAGCAAGTTCATTTCGGCGTCGGCACTCCACACGTCCATGCACTCGCTGCACCTTGAGAATCAAGTGTGCACCAGAATGCGCTCCCGTCATGCATCATTAGGGAGAGGAACAAGAGCAGACGACTGGGGTTTTTCCCGCCATAAGGAACGAGAACCGAAAAAAAGGGGATTTTCTGCTAAGAAACTGCTTCCCACGGGCAACAAAATCGGACGCGAGCTGGGCTATTTATTCTGTGAAGCAAGCAATCGACAACCTGTGCTTCATTTTCAAGTTTTCTTTCAGTTTGTTGCTACACAGACATTGAAATACATCAATGGGATAAAGTAAGGTTCAGAACCAACATCAGCTACCGCGAGATCTCTCACCATCCTTGAGGGGGTGAAAAATTGGGACTTCAGTTGACAAACCTCGCCCGCCCTCCTGTCCATCACCTGACCCCATTCTGCACATGTGGGTATGCGCAAAGGAGCGTGATCATGTGGCTGAAGATACAAGTGTGACCGGCCCAACGAGCACATAGTTTCCACAGCACTGTCGGCTTAGGGGTGCACGGAAGATACTGTATAAACTGGAATATAGGTCGACCCCTTAATTTACAAGTTGCAAGATGCAAAAAAAGTTTTTATGGTGAGAAAATGCAACCTTACCTTGGTGACAAAATTGTCCAAGTATATGAAAGGACAAGAAAACACGGCAGATTTATTTAATTGTTTTGCACTCAATAAAACAGGAAGTATGCGAGTGTTACTACTCAGATTCCTAGGAGCCTTCGTCCGACGACGAGTTCACTAACACAATTCAAAGGGACGATGCCGTCCCTTTGAATTGCGCCCTCGAGAGCTCGGAGGCACGAGCAACCTCAACGCCTTTTATACGGATGCTCTCTGACATCACAAGTATCGATCTGGCGCACAGATCCCGAATAAAGTTTGCCGCCTTTGTTTCCAATTCGGGGTACACTGCAGTCCTTCCACGAAATTAAGTTTTCTTCGCCTTGCTGCACGCCGCCGGTTTTTGTCTCTGGTTTTGCCAGTAGCGTATGCTTTTCTCCGATACATTGAACTCTCGCTGCGCTGCAAGATTCCGGTGGATCTCTGCATAGGCGATTGCCTTCTTCTAAAAAGCTACTGTGAACTGTCTTCTACTTCCGCTCATTATTGCTCCGGGAGCAGCAACGGTAGATGTAACAAACCAAGGAGCACAAGTAAAAGTGAATCATGACAAGTGGACGAGTGCTAGGCCATTGCAAAGAAAAACAAAATGGCATCTTCAGGCACTCAGTGTTGCGAGATTATTTTTGTTTTTCCGCTAATGACTGTCGTATAAGACGAGGGTCGACTTTTTCAGGTCCAATTTCAAGAATAAATTCGACCTATATTCCGGTTTATATGCTAGTTGTGCATAGTACTGTGGAAGCCACAGGCTGGGGAGGGGGGGGGATTAGCAACTTTTGTCTGAATGTTGAGCGACGAGCATCAAGGGCCAATTTCCTAGGGGGAGAATGGTGACATGCGAGTACAAAAATGAGGATCCAAGCGCCATGAGCAAGAGGGGAGTTCCTCCTCTTGAACTGCTAGAGGTATACTTACGCCCCCATACCTTTGGTAATACTGCACAATTTGTAAGTTGAGGAAAGCTAAGAAGGAAGTTGAAGAATCGATTCATGGCCCCTTTAACATTTACCTACACTAGTTATCTTGCACCATTATATTTTGTTTGAGAAAGCTCTCATCCTCACCCCTCCCATAAGGGATAAAATCAGAAGTAAATACAACGATCGGAATCTAAAGTGCCACGAAACCTATTGCTGGACATTCTTACGGGTTAGTGATCAATTTTTGTATGAATGAGGCCTTACCAGTGCCTTTGCCTCAATAGTGTGGTAAAAGGGCAATTTTCTTGTTTGTGAACACAAATTTGTTTTGAAACATAACTTGCTGGACTACCAATGCATGTTTCAAGATCTCTGTTGTGTTGAATGTTTTGCTGCCTGTTATATTCTTCAGTAGCCAGTATCGTTTAAGTTCTAGAACTCTCTACAGTAAACTCTCACTTGAGCAAACTTCTGGGGACTCAAGGAAATAGTTCCCTTAACTAGGAGTCCACTAAACTCAATATATTCACTGGAATATGGAACAGCCTAGGGCACAGCATACATTGAGTCAAAAGGGTGAAATGCAATTTATGGAGTAATGTACACTGATATATACAAAGTGTGTTACAGTTACGCTGCTGCCTTTCTCATTTTGAAAATAGTCAATAATTTTCATTTGCACCGGCGCTCTGAAAGCGCATGAAATAACAAAGTTGCCCAGAGAGCATCTTTTTTTTTTTGCATATCCTCTGGCACGGCTAGTTGCTGTGAGGAAGTCGTACCGCAACGGCACTGTCCACTGGCTTGAAATATTCTGTGCAGAGTCGTTCCCTGTTGGGATTGAATGCAGTTTCTCTTTCAAGCTTCGACTTTTGCTTCACTAACGTTGACAACGTCGACGGTAGCATCCGATAGTCCTTCGCAACGTTCACTTGCCTTTGACCGTTGTCCAGATGCTGAAAGTATTTCAATTAGTCTGAGAGACAACCGCTTCCATTTCGTCATACTTATTACGTAAGTGGGCGCACAAACTGCCGTTGTTACCCAAAGACTAAGATGGCCGAAAGGAACCAGTGATAAAGAAAAAAAATATGCACCGCATGGTTCGTTTTTGTCTACCGCACCGCTGCTGCAATGGCGGCAGCGGCCATCAGCTACGCCAGCACTGCAGAGCACAAAACTTCGTTGAACTGATCACAACAGTAATCCTGGGTCCACCGATCAAGTTCGTTGAACTGAAATATTCGCTATTCCGAAATTTGTTTTTCGTAGAGCAAACATTTTTGCATAGAATGCGAAGGAAAAGCACCATAGATTTTTTAAAGTTTGTTATTCTGAAATACTTGTTAAACCGACGTTTGCTCAAGTGCGAGTTTATTGCACCCGACTACTGTGTGTTGCCCTACATGTTCGGGTAAGGTACTGTTTCCGTTCACCTAATAGGCACTTTCGTTCTCTGCATACACCATAGGTTTCAAACCGCCCTGAATCGTGGATCAAGCCTTGCAAGATGGAAGTTCTCTTTAGGCCCAGCGCCTCTTGATGGATAAAGTCTTGTACCCAATTCCCTCGTGTCTTTCATATAAGTAAATTGTTGGTATTTCTTTTATGACAGTGCACGTTACCTGCCGACCACGTTTTACAGTTGAAACGCAGTGTACCGAAACTTCTTTTATATAGACACCTTTCTTTGCAAACGCCACCAGGCGGTGCTTCAGTTTGTTTGACGTCTCAGCAAACTTCTGATTCATAACAAGAATGAACAAAACCCACTTTGACACTGCTGCCTAAAATGTCGATAAAACGTGTAACCACCAATTCTCCAGGTGAGCGCCAAAAGAATGAAGAAACGGGAGATATGTTAAAATGGTTCAAATATTTTGTACACCAACTTGCCTCCTCCAAGACATTAAATTGTACAGCCAAATTAGAGCGCAGCTCTTGAGGAGGAGGAAAGGGTACTGGGGGGGGGGGGGGGGGGGTGATGATGCCGGTGACGTCATTAGTGATGATGGCGTCATCGCATCGTCATCAGCGATGATGCGGATGCCGGTGACGTCATTGGGGGGGGTCACGTGACCCTGGGGGAGGGGTCATGTGACCTTAGAGTGACCTTGGTTACGCCAACGCCGCTCAAGCCGGGAACGGGCCCCTAAGAGCTGCGCTCTAAAAGCAGACAAGTTAGAACGATCAGGCGGCCGTGTGAATTTGAAGACTCTCTGAACCCCCGGGTGGTCCGGACAACTTGGCGGTTTTCTCTCGTTCATGTTGGAATACAACTACATCTGTCGAGCACAAAGTGTTGCCAGCATAAGCAATCGTAGTTCGACAGCGTCTGGTTTGCCCTTGTCACGAATACTATCCACGTTTTTGGACGAATGGAGGGGCAGAAACACATGAAAACTGATCTTCAAACCTTTCCAGAGTCTCTTGGTACAGTTCCGTCGCAGAATTTTGATGAGAAGGCAGGTTTTTTGTCTGGTTTCTCCCAAAAGAACGCAGGAATGCATGTCTCGCACCGCGACTTCTGCCCACCGCCCCAGACCGGAAGTGCGCCCGACGCGCCACCACCGTGACGTAGGAGAGCGGTACTACAGTAGACTTTCTCCACAACGATGGAAGAGCATGATTCCTTAGGTGATATGCATGCTTCAATAATGGGGCAAACAAATCAGTGCTGCACTTAACAATAAAACAAGATATAAAATCTGCACCCAAGAACAGCCTCGCTTTAATTTCTTTATTGCTTTTAACATTTCGGTGTCAACTTCCTTGATCGCTGAAATGTTCCTCAATATTACTGAAAAAAAGATGTGCTTGCATTGATGAAAGTGTGAATGTTGTGAACACATTCCTCGGAAAACAGCAGATCTCCAACAATATCTGGACCTGCTTGGCAATGGTAGCAATGTGTGTACAAATGTTCTTAGATCTAGGTCAGTTGACACACTTGGAAAATGCCCGACGCCCTTTTGCGGCACATCCGCTCAATGGCATCTGCTACACTATTAGCTCGTCCTATGGACAGATCCGGTGGAACGTTGGATGCACATTACCTGCGGTGGAAAGTGGTTTTATTGTGGTTCTTATAGTAAACATAAGGTCTGCACAATACTTAACGCAAAAAGAGCATTCAAAGGTTTTTTTGCTGACCGTGGAGACATTGACGCTGTGGCGCTAAGAACATTATCCACCCTTACCTGCTTGCATGCCGGCAACAGAAAACTGTTTTTGAATGCTGCTTTTCCGTGGAGCTTGTCAACTGATAGATCCAAGAACGTTGGCATGTATGGCCCAAGGGGAGGCATCTATTTTCCAAAGCACCGGTTTAGAAACCCCCATTTTATTGAATTCTTTCAAAAAGACGCCCAGTTTAGAGAAAATGGCAACGAACCTCCTTTTAGCAAATTTGTTTTTAGGAAAACAATTCACCGAACTCGACTGCTTGCTCTAGCATTCGCTTGTTCTGTCTTGGCTGACGGTGAAGCTGAGCCAGTCAGCGAGTCGCTCGCTTGGGCGGCCAGCATATTCAGAGTATGATAGACACGTTTTCGTGCATGTCACTACCCTGCTGTTTTCGCAATAGTACTTTTACGTTCTGTTTGTTTTACGGCTTAAATCATGCCTTAGTGAATCATGTGCTAGCCTTTAGGTGCTTCCAGATTTGCTTATCTTAATTCAATCGAATGGATTCACTAAACTGCGATCTTTCTCAATAAATGATGCTGCTGTAAGCTGAGCTTTGATAAAAATGTGCCAGTCCTCGAAAACACGCTTCTATGATATGGTGTTCGGTCAACTGCCATAGACCCCTGCACGAGTGCAACTGAGCAGCAGTTGTAGGTGCAGCACATTCTATTAGCATAAAATAAAGGCACACAGTCAAACAAAGCACCTCAGTGATGCCTAGGAGATCAGCGAACATAGAAATATTTTACACTGGGTACTATTCAGTTTCATATCTCTTAACATTACCGTCCCGCTTCGGCTAGTCCCTAGATTGTTGACAGCTGCCCCGGCGAGGATGCTTTCCGGACATTCGGAAATAAAACATCTCAGCACAGGTGCTATCCACCCCTGTTTAACCACGTGTTCTTTACGAACATAACTCGGCTTCCAAACGATATTATAGAACGCCGTAAGTTAATATTTTCAAAACAGTAAAAGCGTATCTTGCAATTGCGCAGCATAAAAAGAACAGTGCAGGTAGAGCGGGTCCATATCACATGAGCGAATGACATTTTAGCGAACAGCGACATTGGTCACTTCCTACGAATTTATACATAACCAGACTGTCGTTAGCAAAATGGTAGGTACTGAAAACAGGGAAATGAACGAGTGTGTGATGGGTTGGTAAGGGAAAGAAACGTGGACAAAAGGCAAACGAGCAATTTAGGAGACGACGACCCACCGAGCTAATGCTCTGTACGAATCTAAACCTCAAATACTACTTTCAGTACAAATACAAGATACCCACAATATTACGCGATAAATAGCCACCAAAATTAACGTACCAATTGGGCAGTGCTGTTCGTAAATCACGTAAATCGCCGAAATCACAGAACGTTCACGAAACGGAACAGCCATCTTGAAAAAAAATAAAAATAGTGATGGTGATAGCGATGTGTATTCTGTAAAAACTCCGAGGACAAATGCAGTCAATGTTTTTTTTTTTTTCTGATGTTTCTTCAGATTTATGTATGGCAATTGCAAAAACTTTGGAAAGCTTACTTCCCCTAGCAAGACCTCATTAAAATAATGGTAAAATAGTCTAAGGTTTAAACACATAGACGTGTTGAAATACACTTGGCAATGTCTACGTGGAGCGAGTTTTTCTTTTGCATGAGTTGTGGCGATGTAAGAATGCCAACCTCCGATTTAAGGATAGTGGATAGACCTCAAAGCAGCTAAACCTGTGATTAAGGATAGTGGATAGACCTCTAAGCAGCTAGCCTCGTTTACCCACCATCCTTCAATCGGAGTTCGGCATTTCGACGTAACCACAAGCAGACGAACCTGCGCTCCACATGAACCTTTTCTCAGTAATTAAATGCAAACAGAACAGACTTGGGAACTTTTCTTGCTAAAAGCCTTTCCTTATAAGTGTGAATGGTCAAAAGCCAATGCTACGAAAGGCTGAAATACTTCGGACATAGCATGTTAAGGTGGCAAGAAAAATTAAACAGGGATATCCATCTTCTTTCCATCAAACTTTCGGAGCTTCATCTTTTTAATAATTACCTCCTCACATGTTTCACAGTAATCTGTGGCATGGATTTACCACACTCCTTTTGTGAAGTGTAGCAAGAGGTATACACCATCATCAGAAAAAAATACAATTTATTTATGACAGGGAACCACGAGAGGGGAAGATGGCAAGACCCGATCCACCAAAAAGGAGAGGGCATAAGAGTGAGGCCTTGCAAGGCTTGGTCCGTGATTCAGGACGGTTTGAAACCTATGATGAATGAAGAGAACAAGGGAGTCCATCAGGTCAACAGCAACAATATCTGACCCAAACATGCAAGGCAATGAACAGCAGGGGCGAATTTGTCAGGCTGGTTGGAGTGGGGGTCGGTGGGAGGGGGGGCGGTTTGCAAGACGATATCACGGGCAAAATGTTGCCCAAGTGTGTTTTGTTGACCTAATATTTGTTATGTCACCAAAAACTAATAATTTCTTCCTAAGAAAAGCTGGAGTATGTTGATTTTTCATTAAGAAGTTAACCTCAAGGGGGGGGATGTGACTCCCCCCCCCCCACAAAAAAAAAATCCGCACATGATGCAGAGCACTCGAGTATACACCAAGAAACTGAGGGAGAGGAGGAGACAAGAGCACGTGGGGACGTCAGAATACAGAGCTCTAGTTGGAATGATTAGAGGGTAGACCTAGCTGCCTTTGTATCCACTGCACTCGTCAAAGGCGTTTGAATGTGAAAGCCATACGCTGGACACCAGCGTTCCGCGTTCTAACGTGTTCGAATGAGAGAACAAAACGCTGGATGCCGCCGTTCCATCTTCAAATGTGTTCGACGAGTGCAGCAGAGACAGAAGCTATCTTTGTCTCCACTGCACTCGTCGAACGCATTGGAATGCAAAAACCAAAAGCCAGACACCGTCGTTCCGCATGTGCAGAACAGACAAAGGCAGCTCTTTAGGTCTACCCACTAATCGTTCCAATCAGAGCTCTGCGTTCTGACGTCCCCGCACTCTCGTCTCCTCCTCTCCCTCAGTTTTTCGGCACAGAGTTCTGGGAGTTTAACACCGGCTAGCGAAAAATCCAACAGACAGCACCACATCCACAAAAAAATAGCTTTCTTTGGCATTTCCCAAAGGTGTTCTAAATTGCATAGCATTCATAGGATCTCTTCGCACCCTATCCGTCGCCCGGAGTCCACTTCAGGACTCCGGGCGACGTCCACTCGGAGGAGGGACCGTCCCGTGTGATCTGGCTGGTCCCTTGAAAACGGGAAACGTGCAGGGAAGTGCGAGAGTAGTCCAGAAGGGTGGCGTACTCTCCCCGACATGATACAGAACGAGCAGGCTCGAAGCCAGGCGACTCCGGCCGGAATGTCTGCAGCTTACACCTTCTCAGGGGAGGGAAACCAGTGGCTCCCGCAAGTCACTCGGTTTTTCTCTAATGATCTTGTCAAGACTTTTTCAATACCCGTATCAAATAAAAGCGGTCGTGACCGAAAACGTTACCCGAGAGATGTCCTTTGTAATGGAAGCACCCGACGAAATCGGTGACGAAATGGCGTGTTTTGATGTACGGACCCGAGAGAGCGGAGGGCTGAACATGGACGCTGAAGTTCAGGCTCACGAGGTTCAAGAACTGGACGAGTTGATTCCGTCCTATGGTGATGTCTTCGACGATAGGCCAGGTAGAACCACGAGATCCCAAAGAGCGCCGACCCGATTGCGTCAAAAGCGTACAGAGTTCTGTACAGTATCAAGGCGGGGGTACAGGAACAACTGAAGGAAATGCTGGAAATGGGGCATCATACGGACATGGACAAGTCCGTGGGCATCCCCGATAGTATGCGTGAAGAAGAAAGACAACAGCATGAGGATCTGTGTCGACTTCAGGAAGCTGAACGCGACAACACAGGATGATGCCTACCCCATGCCTTCACTCCCTGAGATGATTGAGACTGTGGGGAGAGCCAAAATAATCGGCACCCTTGACATGTCCCAAGGCTACTGGCAAATCAATTTATCAGAGGAAGCTTTTTTTTAAGACAGCATTCCGTACGGACACCGGCTTGTACGAATTTACGGTGATGCCGTTCGGACTGAAAGGAGCACTGGCAACATTCCAAAGGTTGGTGGACGACCTCCTGAAAGAGCACCGAGACTTTGCTCGGGCATACTTAGATGACATAGCGGTGTTCAGCAACACGTGGCAGGTGTTCAGCAACACCTGCTTCATTTGTGCACCATCCTAAAGAAGTTGCGCCAGGAAGGCCTGGCTCTAAAAAATAAACAAGTGCCAGTTTGGGAGGTGGAAAGTGCACTACCTGGGGCATGTGATTAGGAATGGGCAAGCACAACCTGACCCTGAAAAGTTTTAGACCATCCAGGCGACCGAGAGGCCCTACATGAAGACAGAAGTCCGTTCCTTCTTGGACCTAGTTAACTTCTACCGGAATTTCATTCAAAACTTCGCGGAGCTGGCCGCACCGCTGACCGACCTCCCACACAAGACTGAACCTAAGCAACTAGTGTGGACGCTGTCATGCGAGAGCGCATTCAGCGCACTGAAGGAGAGAATATGCAGCAGTCCAGTGCTGCGGAGCCCAGACCCGAGTCGACCCTATATACTCCAAGTAGACGCTAGCAACAGGGCGATCGGGGCCATTCTAGCTCAAACTAGCGAGGGCGTCAAGCACCCCGTTGCGTACGCCAGCCATAAGCTACTTCTTCGTGAGAAGAAGTATGCAACAATTGAGAAGTGTCTGGCAATTGTGTGGGCCATGAAACATTTTCATGTGTATGTTATGGACAAAATGTCACAATCCAGTCGGACCACAACGCGCTCCGATGGCTAAACAACAGCAGACAGAACAATGACCGTCTACAAAGTTGGAGCCTGTTGCTGCAGGCCTACCAGATTAAGATGGACTACAAACAGGGTTGCTTGCATTTGATTGCGGACGCGTTGTCGCGTATCTATGGGCACTATGATCAGAATGTAGTGCCATGCCAAGGCTTGCGATCTGCTTCTCCACTGAACATGTAGTCGCAAAGATTTTTCTTTTATTTTTACAAACCTGAATGTTGAGAATGTGAAAAAAAAAAAAAAAGTTTATTGTATTCAGAGCATTTCACTTGTGCGTGTCTGTTTCGGATGCTTAGTTTGATAAAGCAGTATTACAGGAGGAGTCGCACTGTGCAATGAAAACAACGGGCGTTTCGTGAGCGGAGGCTCGCAAATCTTGTTTTTTTATGTTATCATTTCGGTTAAAGGGGCGTGTTGCGTAATTTTGTATCTTTTTGCCTTCATCGGGGGTTCGAGCATCTTTACTACACCTTGCGTGCCCCCTCCCGGGGTCGATGGGCCCCAAGTGGAGGTGCCAACGTGAACAATATAACCTTACACCTGTTTATATAGAACTCCGCATATAACTTCTTTGCCTACAAAGGTACTTTGTATTATTTTAGCTGCACTTGACGCACACTGTGCCGCATTATGCCGTTGATGGCATGTCCCATCCCGTGTTGTCGACCTTTCGAGGTTGTACGGGGAATCGGCTATTGTAAATATGAGAGGTATATTAAGGACTTGTAAATGCGTTTGTAGGGGCCTATGATTGGAATGTTTACAGAGTCGGCGGTGGAGGGCCGTTTTGTTTTGGATAGCGCCAACTGAACTCATTTATTATTTTGCTTGTTGGGATATGTGTAGCCCTACCACAGGGACGAGAATGCATGTTAGAGGGAGAGAGTGAAAGAGAGAGACAAGGGTAGCTATGTTGGGAGCAGGAGAGTTGAGAAGGGGGAGTTGACTGAGAGACTTGAGAGGAGACACATCGAGAGCAATGCAGCAGGAGTTGAGATAAAAGGCCCATCAAGAGCGATGCGGAAAAGAATCGAGTTGATGAAGTGCAGGGGTGTCACTTAGAGAGTTAAACGGCAGAGGCCATTGAGTTTTGAGAACTAGCGAACTCTAACTATGCTGTAATTTTTGCGTATAGCACCTGTATATTAAGCCAAGTTATTCAACCCTAAGTCTATGATCCCGACATCACTAAAACCCTTGACTGGCAATCGGCGACAACGACGTCAGCACAGACCCGAAGACGAGCGACTTCATGCCACGAGACGAGACGAGATGAATATAAACTTTACAGACCAGATAAAAGTGAGTGACGCATTGGCTAACATTGCGTCTTGGTGTCATGAAAATAACATGAAGATATTAATATTAGCAAAACTCAGTACATGCATATTACAACAAAAAGAACCACCTTAAATTTTAGCTATGAGGTTGCTGGCATAGGATTGACTGAAGTAGACAGTTACAAATATTTGGGAGTGATTTTGTCTTGTGACCTTGGGTGGAAAAGGCATGTACAGTATGTTAAGAAGCGGGCAACTAACAAATTGTGGTACCTGAGGAGAACGCTGGGTAAATCTCCCCCTTCCGTTGAAATTCTTGCTTATAAGACAATTATTAGACCTGTGTTAGAATATGTGTCTGGAGTGTGGAGCCCATGGCAGAGCTCTCTGGTCAGAGAACTCGAAGATATTCAATTGCTAGCAGTGCATATAGTTTTTTCAGATTTCAGACAAACTATGTCTGTGACCGAACTTAAAAGGAGAGCCAATATAAGCCCGCTGTCAAACAGAAGAGAGAGCCAACGTTTGAAGCTGTTCTTTCAGATTTTCAAGAGTAGTATAAAAATTGATAGCGTGATTTACTTAAAAACAAAAAGTTTTTACTCGGACCGCTTGCATCACTCACAGACCGTAGCCCCTATTAAAGCTCGAATAAATAGCTATAAACAATCTTTTTTTGTGCATAATATTGATTTTTGGAACAGCCTTCCCGGTGATGTTATCGATATTGATTCACTTTCTTCTTTCAGAAGAGCCGTAGATATTATTTTTCAGTGCTAAGATAGCATTTATTGCTGTTATGACATTATTTTTACTGTCTTTATTTTATTAGTTATTACTGCTGTTACAATTACTGCTACTGTTATTACTAGCCTTACATTTGGTTACTGTATTACTGTTGATATTGATTGATTTTCTTCTTTCGATTAAGTCGTAGATATTTTTCAGTGCTAAAATTGCTTTTTGTTTAGAACTGTTGTGTTTATAATTTGCAGGTATGACACTGTATCACCCCACTCCTGCCTTGGCCCTATACACCAACTCATGTTTACAAACAAACCGGAGCGCCCGGAGCGCCCCTAGCGGACGCCACTGGCGCCGTGCATGCGCGATGGGGGTGTGGGCAAAAAGCTCGCCGTCGCCCATAAACAAACCATTGAAATGCGATGTTGTCGGCGCCGGTGTGAGTCCCCGCGCTCTTTTTCGCGTTGGAACTGTTGATTCTACGTTCTCCTAACGATGTCTGACTACTTGAGCAGCGTGAGCGAAATTAACGAGTCTCGTTACACCGCAAAACTTCGCGTGAATAATGTGACATGCGGCGATTCATTCCGCGTGGACGCCGCAGAACGCACGCTAAAGCCTGATTCACATGATGAGATTTCGCTTGCAATTTTCAGTAGCGACATCGCTCGGACTACAAAAACGTGAACCGTAGCTGAGATGGTCGACGTCGATACTGAAAATCGGGAGCATAATCTAACCAAGTGAATCAGGCATAACAAGTCGGTGATGGCCACTGGTAACAATGATCAACATCTTCTTGTATCTACTGTTTACGTCGAGCCTGCTTACCAACCTTCAAACTTAAGACTTTTAAGGCCTGCACTTAATTCTTATCGCAAGTACCGGGCCCACGTTTGGTCTACGGGCCGGGGTCCTCTTAAAAGAGCAGACGACAAGCAGAAACGTTTGAAAGAGCAGACGACAGTAAGAACGATCAGGCGATCGTTTGAACTTGAAGACGCACTAAACGTAGTCCGCAGGTGGTCCGTACAACTTTGCGGTTTTCCGGCGTTCATTTTGGAACCAAACAAATAAATTTGATGGCCAGTAGGATCCGTGAATTTAACCCAAAATGCTTCCCGCCCAAGCATATCCGCGTTCTCGGACGAACCAAGCGCATGAAAACTGACCTTCAAATCTTTCTCGACTCTCTTGGTACAGCCCCAATCGCAGCATTTTGACGAGAAGGCAGGTTTTTGACTGGTTACTTTCAAAACAACGCAGGAATACACGTTTCAAATGGGCACTTCCGCCCACAGCCCCAGACCGGAAGTGCGTCCGACGCGCCACCACCGCGTCGTGACGTAACAGAGATGAGTTCGTGTACATTGGGCCGGCAGTATTGATAAATAAATAAATAAAATAAAAAAGTGTGTGGCAACAAACTGAAAGAAAACTTGAAAATGAAGCACAGGTTGTCGATTGCTTGCTTCACAGAATAAATAGCCCAGCTCGCGTCCGATTTTGCTGCCCGTGGGACGCAGTTTCTTAGCAGAAAATCCCCTTTTTTTCGGTTCTCGTTCCTTATGGCGGGAAAAACCCCAGTCGTCTGCTCTTGTTCCTCTCCCGAGTGATGCATGACGGGAGTGCATTCTGGTGCACACTTGATTCTCAAGGTGCAGCGAGTGCATAGACGTGTGGAGTGGCGACGCCGAAATGAACGCGTGGAGTGTCGGCCGAAACAAACATGCTCCATGTTGCGAGTGGGTACGCATGGGCACGAGTGCCCATGCATACATGTAGTCATACACTGTGCACGAGCATGTGGCTTCGACTTTTATCTTGTTTGCGTGCAGAAGTGGCTTCAACGGCATTGCAGAAATTACACTAGCCTTGACAATGAAGTACAAAAAGGTTTACGCCAAGTCTAGCCACTGTTGCAAGATCACCGAGCCAGGAAACCAAAACCGAGCCACCACTAAATGTGTTCCGTTTCAAAATGGTGTAATTGGCAAGACTGAACTGCCACCAAATGTGCTCTGTGGTAGAGCACAAAAGTACATCACCAGACATGAGTGTCCAAAATATACTTACAATGGCTAGCGGCACCTCATAAAAGTCATGCAATGACTCTCTGCTTGGCCACTTAAGCCACACGCAGTGCCGTGCAGGGTACAGGACGGCATCCATGGTGCAGTGATCCAGGGTCCCGCCCGTAGTGTTCCGCTGCTGCCTTGGACAAGGTGAAAGCCAGCTCATTGATGTCATGGTCCCCGGTACCTGTGGTGTGTAACCATTGTGTTTAAAGGTTATACAGCCACCGACCGATACTGGAGACCCGATGGGGATCGTGCAGAATTCCGAATAATTGAGCAGTATGAAAAAATGATTTTAGCCTAAAAATCACTTTATTATTACGACTTAAAACGCAAAGTTGCTGCAGCAAGTGATCGATGGTTTGCTGTACGGCATGGTACTGTATGGTACTTCGCATTTCAGCGAGTCATTTTGTCACTGTATACAGACGAAAGCATTTGGACAAGTTACGCGCTCACGGCTGCACAATGCTCGCCAACTGTAGGGCCAGTCGGTAGACTTTCCTTTCGGTGAAGGGCAAAGTCCGGTTTGTTAACGCTGTGCTGCTGGAACAAATGCGCAGATTGATCGCTACTTCCTTGGCGACACAACCGCTGCCTTCTCACGTCGACACACGGGAAATACCGCAAACAAAAGCAGACACCGTCATGACTTTGCAAGGTAAAACCGGAGGCCAAGAGCAGAAGAATTGCTTAGAGTGCCGACGTGCTACGTGGCATCAGCAACCAAAACCTGCCATTTAAAAAAAATATATACTGGTTTCTAGTTTCTTAGCAGGACGTGACGTCACGACAACTGACGGCAGTGATTGGCAGGCGGTGTGCATTTTGCCACTGAATTCATAACCTGTCACCGAATGTAGTTTTTAAACATGGCAGATATAATCTGGCCTGTTTTCGTCCGCAATGCTGCCGCCTAGTCTGTCGCATAAATTATTTTTGTTGCTAAGGGGCAATTGGGGCTCTACGTAAACATAGGATGGACGTGCGTGTGGGAAAAATAACATGAATCACTGCCCCCAACATTGACTCTTCAAACAAACTGCCAGAAAAAAAAAAGGCCAATATGTCAACATTTTTGTCCTTTCCCCATTTTTGGTGGCTGTCGTGTCAGATTGAAGTATAAGTAACTAGTAAAATAAAAATAAATAAAAAAGTACATAACGTAAGGTGTAAATTAACTCTATAGATATAATACCAGTCCCAATGGTTTAAGAAAGAGGCTGGCTTTCTCAGAATGCCCCCCTCTCACTCAAGTCCGTATTGAATCTTAATATGAAGTTGCCCCGAAAAAGCTGCAGAAAATGCACATAGTGACAGAGCCCATAAAGACCACACCTGCCTTTCACATGGCCTTTCAAACTAGATGCAGTACAGGACGCTGAACGGTACCCATGGGCTAGCTGCAGCTGTAGCCCAGTGCTTGTAGTATATCGCAGCTGATGGAAGGGAGGGAGGCCAGCTCCTTCCATGCCGTGGTACCGGGAAAAACAATACAGATGAGCCACAGACGTCAAGCGCCTTGAGTATTTCTGTGCATCCATGAAGCCAATCTGGGACAGCAACGACAAAAAACTTCAGTAACACAGTGAACAAAAGAGTAGGCATGCAGGCGAGCTGTGAATTGTGAACACAACTAAAACCCAAGGCACAAGAAAGCAGAAAGGAAGAGGTCTTTCCACTTCCTTGCATGTCGGGTTTGAGTCTCGCACGGGGTAGTAAAAAGCAACAATACTGGTTCCCTAGTCTTTTTCTGCGTCAAGAAGCCTTGGAACAAAGAAATCCTACTGGTTATTCATCTTGTTTTCTCTTCTCGGGCCGATTATAGTGCACGGTGCGGAAGCAAACTGCCTCGAAGGGGCTCAACTCACACTCCCAAGAAAATGATTGGCGAGCAACCACTCCATTGTGTACTACGTGCACTGTACGTTTTAAGCAGGTCTGTTTTCTGCTAACACGACAGCGGTAGGAATGTTACTTGTGTCGAGCTGGAGAAGCCATAGTGGGGGCTACCCCAGCTACGCCCACGCTGGCTCTTATGGCGGTTATGTGCAACGCAGACAGCTTTCCCCATTTCCACCGAGTGCCTAGGCAGACACAGAAGCAGCCAGATAAGACAAATCGAGGGAAGACGCAGAGTTGTACAGGCTAAGAGGGAACGACATAGTGTAGCGAGCTTTTTAGTCCAGGCTATTCCTCCGAGAAATGCAGTCGGTGGAAATGTAGGTCAGTTGTTCTTGCCATTAATTTAGGTAACGAATGCAAACATTATACTATTTGGCACCTTTTTCTACTGCAATGCTGGTCACCCGCAACGAAAAAACGCCACAAACTGAAAGAAAGTCTGGTTGCATTGTTAACACAGACACCAAGTCCACCAGGAAAAGCCATCTGTGCCATCCACCTGTTCATAAGCGAGCTGGAGTTCATCAAAGCACCACCGAGACTCTCTCGGGAGTATTTGGTTCCTTGTCACTAGTTATTGAATGAAAACACAGTGCAGTGCTGATTACTGTCAGCGCAGCCTTGCGACTAGGACTGCTGTCACTCGGGTGGCACATATTTCGCTGGCACGACATGGCCTGCGAGCCACATATATCCCTAAAAGAAAGCTGCATAGAATGCACTTACCGTGGCTAGCGTCGCTGCCCAGAGAGCTTGCACAAACCCTCCGCATGACACGCAGTGCAGTTCAGAACAGAGCAGCACTGGCTAGCCAGTTGCTGCGAAGGCTTGCAGTGTCTTGCTGCTGCAAGTCACCTCTTTCATGCCTTGTGGTACCCATCAGTTTCAAAACAAACGCTGATGAACCGCGACCAGCCATGACCTGTAGCACAAGGGGGAAAAACGTATGAATGTGCAGTCTCCTATCTGTTTGCTTTTGTCTAACGTCTCTGAGTTTTTTTTGAGAAGAAAACAGCAATGACACTTCTTTCACAGTAACGTGCAAAAGAAACAAAAACGGCTCGGTTATTATCCTGTCTCATAAGTTGTGTGCAGCAAAGGCACGGGTGCGAGGGCGCAGCTCTGCAGAATGTTCTTTTTGCGCGGGTACTCGTGCAAAAAAGGCGCTTTTTATTGTCATGTGCTCGGGCCTGCGCTTTTGCTGCACACAACTTATGATACAGAGTGTATAGCACGCCTCCGTGAGCACTCGCGTACGGCGAGAAATCTATGATATCCAGGGTACGATAGCAGGAAACCTCGCAAGGGTGCACGAAGCTGCAAGTGCGCCAGAATGTGCAGCTGGAGGTGGTGACAGAATGACATAGTTTGAGAACATGAGTTTACTTGGGTCAAAATATAGAAGCGAAAAACGTAACTTCCTTGCCGGCTGATGTTTGGAGCCATCGGAGCACGACCAACTATTTGTTGTGATCGGGGTATTACGATCGGACGCGGGTTGGTAAAGATTTGAAAAACCCGGAAGAATAAAACCTGTTGCGGGCGAAGACAGACAGCGCAGTTCCTTGTTGACATGAGATGTAATATCAAACACATTATTCCGTCGGATCAAACGTTTTTGTTTAATCAGGCTTAGCTCGGAAGTCTGACGGCAGGTCTGGGGTCGGAGGCATGCGGTTTTTAGAGCTCTTTTGGCGGGCTTTCAGCTTTCTGCGATGCGTGTTTTAATCGTGAGCACAGGCTCAAACAATAGGCAGCGGCGCCAAATGTATTTGAAACGAAGAAGCAGCTCGGACGCGTGGAACGAACACATCGAAATCACATCGCAGGAAAACGTAAATCACTCACCTTTTGTTCGACGATGGTTCGCAAGACACGATTCAAATCGACGACACTCGATTCGGTCACGATATTCAGGTAAAGGACGCAACAACGTAGGCTTGCCGTTCCTAATAACTCCATAAATACGGCGATACGACACGATATCAAACAAAGGAGTCGGAAAAACGCAGTCTGTAGCGCAGAAAACGCGTTCACGCGGTTGCAAAAAGCAAGAAAATAAACAAAATAAAAAAAAAATAATACGTCAACAAAGTAAAAATAACAAAAAGTTTCCTCGCTAAAAACCGTGACGTCACAGAAAACAAAACAAACAAAAACAAGCAAAACAAAATTTGTTTGTCACGTGACGTTATATTTGTGACGTCACTTCCGGTGACGTCGGGTCACGTGACCTGCCATTATTCCTCCTCCGAATCGCTCGTGCCAGAGCAGCTCTGTCGGCCATGTTGCCGGCAAAACATGCGTTAATTACTCTGCCCTCGGGAGCTATATAGCGGTTTAGTCAGTTTAGTTTCACGAAGCGCTGCTTATTTTTTTAGTAACTTAGAGCGCTCATTAGACAGTGAAGGAAGCTTTTCGTCGGAATGACGCTGATCCGCTGTCAACAGTTGGGTAAGCCGTGCTCATTCATTCATTTGCAGTCTGCCGTGGCATTGCACAAGTGTCATTACAAGGGTCCACTGTTTTCTTTTAATTGACTCACGCTGCTGTTTACTTGTTTGTAAATTTTTGTTTTTAATGCGCCCTTTTTTTTTGGGGGGGGGGGGGGGGGGGGGGAGTAGAGTAATTTGAGGAAAGCCGTGAGTAAATACGAGTCGCCCTTCACGACCCCCGCGCTCTTGCTGCTGGACAGTCACTAAAAAGGTAGCATGTCACCCTATCACATATTGAGGAGCCACTTGATCATATCCTACTAACATTGCTACTTTTAGCATTTGCGTACAGAAAGAGATGTGGGAGAGTTCAGCAGCAGTGGTGGATTTGGAGGGGGGTCCGGATGACCTGACTCCCGCTCTTGAATTCTGCTTATGTAAAAATTTAGGGCGAGGAGACGGGGGGGGGGGGGGGGAAGGAGGAGGAGGAGGAGGAGGAGGAGGAGGGGGAGGGGGAGGGAGGGAGGGAGGGGGGAGGGGGGAAGGAGGAGGGGTTGGAGATGGGAGGTTTTTTTAAAACATATGATGCGCTGACCCCACCCTCTGGAAATACCTGCGTCTGCCCCTGGCTTACAGCCACATGTATTAAGGTCGACATTACACTTTACAGTTCTCTGCATACTCTCTCCTTCCGCATTTCAATCCTTCCCTCTTTCACCTCCACTTCAGGTGCTAATTCATATTGGCTACTCCCTTGCCGAGGGGAGAAGAAGCAAACGTGATGTTCCTAGTTTTTTTGCCCTATCCCACACAGGTAATTCTGGTGATATCTCGCACTGCCCGGCGATAGAAAAAATGCTGAGAGCAAGTCGTCTGCTTCCTTTGCAGGGTTTGTGGTGACGTCAGAACGCCGAGCTCCGATTGGTTCTGAATGAAGGATAATGGGCAGACCTCAAGGCAGCTTGCTCTGAGGTCTACTCGCATCCTACTGTCAGAGCCAATCGGAGTTTAGCGTCTTTCTGACGTCACCGCAACTCCTGCTGAAGAAGCAGTCGACTTGCTCTCTGCATTGGCTCAGAAGAAAAAGGGGAAGAATTATACTTTTGGTTTCTAGGCTAGGTGGCGCAAGCTACCGCCCATCATAAAGGGTACAGCCATTAGCATTTATTCATCCATATGCCGCGAATTTAGAAAACATGGCACACTCTGTCCTGTTTGAACAGCCCTTAACGCGGCAAGGCATTGGGCACTCTTCACTTAGGAAGGCTTGTCCGCCACCCAAGGGTGACCACAGGAATCTGGAGTTCCCTGTCTGCCTCGTTGACGTCGACACGCACCCTTGGAGCAGACGATGCCCCCGCCCTCAGAGAGCACCGAGTGAGCGTGCGCACGTGCGGCGCCCTCTACCGCCAGTGGAGGAAGACAAAGCCCGAGTACCGTGACGCACCTGAGGATGGCGTCGTGGTGGACATACCCTTTGTCTTCACCAGGTGCGGGGGGTAAAGGCAGCGGAAAGTGGTAAATCTTAAGTGCCAACATTGGTGGTCCCGAGAGCAAAAGAATGCAGTCGATATATAGGTTAGGCGTTTGAGTGCTTGTCAACTTTATTTTTATGCAATGTACGACACGGGTGTTTTTGTGCAAAATAATGCTAGAGAAACTCCAGATACAGACTTTGTGTGAGATGTTTTCCTGCTTCTTTGCGTATATATGGCTTGCATATGACGTCATTCAAAGAGCGCTTCGATGGCCACCATAGAAGAGTGACATGCTGTCCGGGAATGGAGATTGGCAGGCGAGAAATGAAGAAGAAAAAAATAGAATAAAGATCGACGTCACGCACAGTGACTAAGTTACAGTACTTGCCTATCTGTTTTTCTGCAATACGATAAATTGGCGCTGTCGACAGTGAAGCTGTAGACGCCACAGCCTTTTCTACTGGCTCCAGTTAAACCAACAATTCTGTGGGTAGAAAGGTACCCACTGTTCGAGACCTTCATGGTAGCAAGCGGAGTAACTATTTACTATTTACAGACAACAGGAAAAAGGCAATATTACTCAACTGCCTTGGAGTGGAGGTCAGCGAGTATTCCGTTCTCTACTGGCAACCTTGCAAGACCTTCAACCATCGATTTCTGCAGACAGCTCTTCCACTACTAAAGTACTCGACGACAGAGTACGTACGCTGAGCCAATTCTTCATGCCAGCTGCCAATAAGATCGTCGAACGGTATTGTTTCCGCCAAAGGGAATAACTACCGGGAGAAACGGTCGAAGGGTATGTCGCGACATAACATTACGGAGCATGGCCAAGACATGCAAGTTTGGAGGACTCGCAGAAGATTTAATATGTGACCAGCTGGTAGAGAAAACCAGCAGCAAGGAAGTGTGAGAGGGGCTTTTGCTTGAACCAGAATTAACACTGGACACAGCTTTCGTCATTGCTAGACAAGTGGAACAAGCTCTGAGCAAGTCTTAAGCTACCAAGAAGACAAGAAAGTCGCATGCACTTCTGAGGTTGCAGCTCTTACAAGAACTACTGCAAATTCTCCAAAACAAGGTCAGAAGTGCTACAGATGCGGATCTTCGGCTCACTGAGCTGACAATGCTTCATGACCAGTGCAACCGAAAATATGCAAGAAATATGGTACACGCGGTCATTTCGCGTCAGTATGCAGGAAATCAACTTCAGCGAAGACACGTCTTCCATCAAGGCCAAAGGGCTAATAAACATCAAGGGACTTCCGGACACCTTGTACTGCGAAGGGGTCATCGCTGGCGTAGCAGTCAAGTTGCAGGTGGACACAGGATTGCCAGTTTCCATATCTTCGGCGATATACAATACACATTTTCGACATATCAAGCTCGAGCATTCTAACCTGGTACTTAGGAATTACTCCAATGAGTTGATCAAGGTAGAGGGGATGTTCGAGGCTGAAGTATTGTTTGGTGCAAGACAACCTACCTGCACATTCCATGTCACGTCAGGCAAACCATTGGCTGGATTAGGCATCCTTCGAGGCTTGCAGATGACGATAGACATCGAAAAGTATTCGTCCCACGAACTATCCACTGGAAATCAACAAAATCCCCAGCTGTATAAAGAGAAGTTTCCAGAACACTTTTCAGAGGATCTTTGACTTGTGAAGGACTTTCTCCGCAGACTCAAAACACGAATCACTGTTCTGCCGGAGCAACAAAAATTTTGTTGTCTTCCACTGACAGCACGACTGCACGAGACAAGCTATTTCATGAATTACGGAAGTTAGAGGTAACAGGCATGCTAGAGAATATTGACGCAACAGAATGGGTTTCTCCAATTGTCGTGGCTTGGAAGAAAACGGAGGAAATTCGACTTTGCGTGGAATTACGAAAACCAAATCTGGCGATCGTCATTGACAGTCATCATCTTCCACATCCAGAGGAAATTTTTCATCAACTAACTGGGATCACAATATTCTGCAAGCTTGACCTCTCATCGGCTTATTATCAAAGGGAGTTAGTTGAGGAGAGCAGAGATCTAACTGTGTTTAAAACCCAAGATGGACTCTTTCGATACAAAAGAGTTTGCTTCGGCCTAGCTTCGGCAGCAGCAGCTTTTCAGAAGATGCTGTCGACTGTGTCGAAGAGATGCCGTGGCACCGTCCACTACGTAGGTGATATTCTCGTTGCAGGAATATTACAAAAAGAACATGACGAGAATCTAGAGCCAGTCATTACACGCTTACAAAAGAGTGGCATGAAACTCAACAGTGAGAAATGCACCTTTTCAGTCAGAAAACTTTCAGTCAGAAAAAATTCTTACAAAGACAGCTTTCCTCTCTTTTTTTCATGGTGGCCAAAAGTATTGCTGTGTTATGTCAGTGCAAGCCATGTATATCAAAGTATCGCCACCAAAATGGTTCCGTGGGGACCACCATGGGACCACCGGTGTCGGCGTTTATGCCCCGCCATTCTGAAGTGGCCGATAGGCATGGCTTCCCTTTAAGTTATTATATTGACTCAATGACCAGGTGGGACGACGGCGGGGGCTCCGGTGGGCAGCGTCCGCTGGCCGTGGTTCTTCACGGGGCTCCGGGGGGCTACGGGGACTTCTCTGAGAACCTCGTCCCAAGACTTCGTGCGGCGGGCGTGGACGTGTTGGTCCCCAATTTTCCCGGTGAGTCCCTCCGGCTCCTGGAAGGCGGCGCGTCCATCTCTAACGAGCAACATCCTTCTTCGGAGCTCTAGGTTCTCAATGTACGGAGAGAAGCTGGGGGAGAGTACCAGACGAGGGTGTGCAAGGAGCACCGAATTCTGGTTGGAATGATTAGTGGGCCCTAGACCTAAAGCTAGCTGCCTTTGTATCTATTTACCTTTCCAACTCATTCCAACGCGTTCGGTTGGTGAGTAGAGGCAAAGGCATGCCAAACGCTGGGCGCTAAAGTTTGGCGTTCGAACACCAAACGTCAGTGTCTGGCGTTCGGCGTTCCCGTTTGACTGCATTCGAACACTGAGTAGAGAGAAAGGCAGCTAGCTTTGCCTCTACCCATTATAATTTTCTAACCAGAGCTCTGTGCTCCGGTGGGAGTAAGCTATATTCTTCCGCGATAGCCTAGTGCCGCACAAGGATGCAGACCTTAATTGCGACCAAACCCAAAGGCTAATGGAAGAGAAGCCCCTAGCATTATTAAGAATGTGTCGCTTCATTAACATGCCGTAGGTTTAATGCGAGTCCCGCGACACCTGCATACGTTTAGCATTAGGAAAAGAGGTGTAGCGGGTTCTAGCAAAGCTTCTAATGTAACTGTTATTTCTGTAGTTGTTTCACTTTTTGATATACCGAGTTCAATAGGAATTCAAGGAACAACAGACGCAAACCTTGGAAGTGCTGACTGCACGTTCACCCAATGAAACTTAGCGTAAACTTCCAGTAACATATTTAGCATAAATAAAAGGCGGTGTAATAAAACGAAAGAAAAAAAAGAAACAAAAACTAGAAACTATAAAAATATGCAGCACCCCCAAAAATATAAATTTGCCGCAGCATATATTCCAGCACAACTTGACAACGGCATTGGAGAACGTTGTCGACCATTATTTCGTCTGCAGAGGAATGTCCAGTGTCGTTTTCCTGACCTGGGGCCCTAATCTGGATACTTGGCGAAAAAGTTGGCGAGAAGTCTGGCGGCTACGATTGGTCGGCGCTAAGGCCAAGTTCGACGTTAGCCTATCACTACCGCTGGATTTCTCACCGACTGTCCAGATTCGGGCCACAGCTGGTTGGCAGATTCTGATCGACACTTGTCTCCTCGCAGGCATGGCGTTCAGTCTCCAGAACAAGTTCTTCTGGCACAGCATTGAAGAGCGCACTGCCCTGCTCAAGGACTTTCTCAAAGAAATGAACATCACGAGGTGGGACTCCACTGTCGTAGTGAGCATGCTTCTCGTAGTAAAGGAACACAATTGATTGAACTTTCCTATGCTAGCGCGTCTGTGGTAGGCGGGAAACGAAAACTTTGGCACGTTTCAGCACCGGATGAATAACTTTCACACAGTAGAAACAGACCTTACATTCCAGCTCTTGCTCCGGGTAACACATGACATTACCCGAGGCAGGAGTTAGTATTTACCGCCGTCAACTTGTTGCGAGTGAACCGGCATCTCTTGATACCTCTAGATCTGTAGCTATAAAACTTTTTGATATCAAGGAAGTCTTTACACGGTCCGGCTGAGGAGTCTCCCTGCCTCTTAGGATTCTCACGGTGTCAAAATGTGCCTGAAATCGGAAACTTTGTCAAAAGACCTTGCAATACTAGGTGGAGAGGATGTGGGTGTGTTTGCTCGTAGTTGCATTTAATATGTGACTGTACCGGGATGGGAGCTGTCAAAAAAATCAAAATGTACCTCTGAGAACCTTTAGGTTGGGTACAGGGGGTGAGTTGCAGTTGTTGTCGTGGGCAAACGTCAATCTTTATTTGAACATTTTTAGAGCCTCGGCTTAAAACTTGCTTTATGTGACGTACGTCTCATTTTGAAAGTTGCGCACCTCGTCACCACTGCTAGCTTCAGCTTCAAGGGAAGCTGCAGCCTTCTGCGGGAAACACTGTTTAGGTGACAAAGAAAAATATATGCAGAAACCGTTATCTTTAAAATCCTTTAATGCATGAGATGCAGTATCCAAGCTGCAATCATTTAAAATTACTTACAACACATTAAACAGGGCGTTTCGGGAGTGTAGAACCTTTTTTTTTTTTTGCGTAAAATTCCCCGCTATATCGATGTCACGTTACCTCAGTGTCACGTGACATCAATTTGGACGCTAAGTTTAACGGGGAAGCTGAATTGGGGTGTATAAGTCACATGACGTCGGGTCGCGTGACATCAATTGACATCCTACAGCCTAAACACCAATTGAGTTTCCCCGCTAAATTTAGTGGGAAGCGGACGGACTGATAACATCTTGGGTTTTGGGGAGTACCGTTAAAGAGTATCTTAGAATTTAAAAAAAATTTAGAACCTTTAAAGGGGCACTCGAGTAAATTATGAAATCGTCTAGTTAGGGTGCTAACTCCCTATGTCGGTTCTAAGCTCCCTAAAAAAACCTGAAATTACACTCGCGGGGAGCCAATTTTTCTATTAAAATCTAATCAAAGATTATGTCGCACCCCTCTTTCTGTACCTTGGAGCAGGCACCAGGGGCACCGTCGAACGGTGTGTTCAAACAATAAGTGCTGTATTACGTCTCTAACATCCAAAGATTCAACGTTTTTGTCAAAATATAATGTAGAGTGTACCTAAAAAGAGCAATAATAGTAGCGTTTGAAATCTCCACGTTGTTCAAATTTTATGGAGGTGGTGGGGACCCGAAGATGGCCCCCTCCCGAGAGAAAGTAGCACCCTTGTATCTCTATTGCTGTGAGTTTACTAGGACATCTGATCATTTTGATCGACTAAAGCCCAACAAACGATATGCCATCAAAAACAAGCTTCTACAAAAAGCACTTGAGTGCCCCTTTAAGCATTGTGGTGAAGAGGGCTTTCACAAATGCTTCGAACAAAGTTGTACTCAGTATGCACAATTTGACATTATTGAAACTAGCGTTTCGGATCAGCTTGCCCCTTGGCCATTGGAAATTGGATGCGGCATGGCCCTAACGGAGCGGTCGTCCGGCCCCTTGGCTCTACCCAGGATCGATGCCCTGGTGGCTCACAGTGCGGCCATCTTCCCGAGCCTGCGCATTACCCTGGAGGAGCCTGGGGCGGCGCCCGCGGTGAAGTCCCTCGCCCTGCTGGCCCCAAACTCCATCCTGACCCCCAAGTGAGCGAGTTCGTCCGAGGCCCTTTTTCACTTTGCGGGGAGCTTCGAGCGACGAGTTTGTTGCGTCACTAGGGTGCCTGGGATGCGTCTCCATCTGGCGTGTTTAGCGTGCAATCCCGACCACACAATGAAAGCGGTCCCGAAACGGCAACAAACGATGTCGGAAAAGCTGGAGGGTCGTGCCGTCAAATTTCGCGATCCCGAAAGTTGGTCGTAAAAATGCCGGCAAAACTCGCGAGCGAACGCGAGTGTAGCCGTTGTCATGATGTCCCAACTTCTGGCTGCCAAAGCCTCTATGGACTGTCGAGCTGGAGAGCGACTTGCTGCGGAACAGGAGTCTGCCACATCTACCGCCGCTGTAGCGATACCGCGGGAATTGTGGGCGGCGACAACGTGACACTTTGATGACGTCTTCGGGCAGAAGTGGAGGGACCGCCTTTTTGGACGCGGTAACCACTGTAGTCGGAGATGCGTTCCAGGTTTTGTAGCGTCGCCAAACACTCTCGCACTGCGGAGACGTGCGTTCGGATGACTGTGGTGGAATTTCCGATTAGTGCACTCCTCACACGTCGGTGCTGTGAATGTGTTCCTAAAAGGCAGGTGAGACGTAGCGAGGAATGTCTCAATATATTCTAAATTTTACGGTTATACGTAACTGCTATTGTAAGGATTCTATCGTTCTGCGCATACTTTCTACCTCCCTCACCCCCTTCTCCCCCCCAGAAGAAAGGAATCGAATTTGTGGATACTTTATTGTTGCATTGAGATGTCTGGTTGTCATATTGTGGATCGTCAGAAAAAAATTATGCTTTTAGTTCGAAACACTCCAGTCATTGACGATGCTGCCAGCATTCTTCTAGCTGCATTCAGCTCGTGAAACGTGTAACCGATCGTTCGACGTTCCCCTCCGAAAGGCCTCGCTGCGACCGGCCAACGGCCGTCGCATCTTCCCTCCTGGCCGTTTACCGAGCGATGTGAGAGAAACGAGAAATTTGGGCGACGTAGAGGACCAACTCGGCTCGTTGTGTTTCAGGACGTTGGAACCCTTGTGGCTGACCAGACGGATAGTGCGGGCATACCGCCGTTTTCCCCTTCTCCGGCCGCTGGTCGGGGCCGTCGTCCGCACCGCCCACTCTCTGGGCCTGTCCCCGCTCAAGCCCGTGGTGGAAGACTTCATGCTCTCCGTCACCACCTACCTAGAGTCCCGGTATGCTGAGGTGCGTTTCTCGCGGTGGCCGTCGCATTGTCGCGGTTCTTTGGGCTGCCCCTGCGGAAACGGCTAGAGTCAATCGAGAACTGTTCGGTGTGTCGGGTTTGTTCCCATTGTGTCCGACGCCATCGTGAAGCTCGGTCATTCGTTGACGACACGGGGTGGGTGTTTGCGCGCAGGCAGCTCGCGGGAGCCACCCTTTGGTTGATTGGAGCTCCAGATTAGCGTCAGTTATAGTTGGGAATTGAGAGCTTTGAGTCTTGGATACAGGGCTAGGGTACTGGTGGTGTCATTTTGTTCTGTCGCGGACTGTTTTAGTGGACGGGAGGGTGAAAAGTGCCTTCCCCCTTTTCAGTCGGGCGCCTCGACAAACTGAGTGCCCGGGGTCGTGGTTTGCTGGGAAAACTCCTGCGGTTTCTCTGGAGCCCTAACGGGCCTTTGAACGTGAAATCCGCGTCTTTAGGCTTTTCAGTTTTATAGGCCACATAAAATGTTGGATCACACTAACGGTAGCTGGATTCAATGTTTTAAGCTCAAATGCCACTCGACTCGAGAAATTTTCGTTCCTTGTTTTGCACTTTTTGTTCATGTTCGGTCAGATATATTAGAACCTTACTACTGTCCATTCAGAAATTATTTCAAAATGCTCTCGAACGAAGCAAGATGAGAAAGCAACCGCCCCGGGAAATGTTATTGTTCTCCAAATTAGTGACTTGAGGGTTCGTGAGCGAGCTCGGCGCGTATAGGCATCCGTTTTGTGTCTGCGTCCTAACCATGCCCAAGTCCGGGATTTACGACGTCGGAGTTCGAATGTTAAAATTATCTAGCTATGTCGTACATTCATGTTTTTCTTTTAATGTAGAGTGTTTGTGTGCAAGGCATGTAGTGTACTGACTGCCTTCTTGATCCTTAATTGTGTAATTTCTCGGGAGGAGGGAGTTGGGTTGATTTTTACGCTTCTTTTCCCCCAACCTCCCCCATCGTTTTGGTGAGAAATAAAGAGACCTTCCCAGGTGAGAATCAGTCCACTTCCAGCTGGATTATGGAACTGGAAATGAGGCAATCCAGCTGGATTCCAGCTGGGTCAAGCCGGGTCCAGCCGGGTCCAGCTGGGTCCAGCCGGGTCCAGCTGGGTCCAGCCGGGTCCAGCTGGAATCCAGCTGGACTGCCTCATTTCCAGTTCCATGATCCAGCTGGAAGTGGACTGATTTTTGCCTGAGTTATTATCGTTAGCTAAATGGTGGAGTCCTCCAATTTGAGCCGGAGCATCCGATTTTGGTTCCGATTTCGGTTCCGATTTCGTCGCCGAAAGCCCGGTGCACGTTCCGACCTTTCTCGCCTGCAGAGCTCCCCCCTGCTGGAGGCGGTGTCCCTCCGGAGGCTGCCCACCCTGGTGGCCATCAGCAGGGATGACAGGCTGCTGCCGTATCCCGTGCTGCTGGCGGTGTGCACCACGCTGGGCGCTGGGGAGGAGGACATGTGGTGCTTTGGCCCAGACGGACAGCTCCGGCGCCCAGGTGAGGCCTGTCACGGTAGTTGTTGGAGTTATTAATTTATCTCGTATACCCTCAGGGTGTACAATATGTGCAGTTATTATTAGTACAGTAAAGTGGCTCCTAGTTATACAGTATTAGCTGTGGCATTCTTGAACTGTTGGTGATCTTCGGTCGTTGCTGTTGGCACGAGTAGGCGATTCCACTCTTCCAATGTGCGAGAAAAGAATGACTGAAAAAAAGAATTATTGTTATACACAGTGGAATCCCGACCTTATGAATATAATCTTAACGAAAGGTATTGGGGTGGTAAAATGTGTTTGGCATGAAGGTAAGGGTGATGACACAACTTAAGAAAGGTTTGAATTAGTAATGACAAATGCTTCTATTTCACGCAACTACAATATATTTCCTGGCGCTCTAGCTCTGAATCCAATATTTCTTTTTATTATTGCGACACTCAGCAACACCAAAACATCTTAAAATCTGCAACAAGGACCCCTCATGTGGAACGGGTGGGGGAGACTCGTTCCGTTGTTGGCCAGGGGCGTTGCACCGGGGATTGAGATCCTCCGAGGAGGTTTTGGGAGCATTCCCAGCTGATGCAGGGGTGTCCCGCGCGATGTCGACGTGATGGCAGTCACTGGGAGGTTGGGGAACCGGAAGGCTCCCGCCATTGGTTTGAGATTCAGCTTTTTGGCCAGGGACGCAGCCAGGGGTGTGCTTAGGTACTTCAGCCCCCCTCAAGAAAAAAAAAAAAGAGAATTCCTGGCTACGTCACTGGGCTGTTCACAAACATTTATTTGCGTACCAAAAATGGTATGTCTCTGCTTGTCACCTCGAGGCTAATGCCGCTCGACGCATAGTACTTAGGAGTGTGACTTTAAATGCCGGTACAAGTATACTTGGTTTGCCACGCAAGGGGGAAGTCAATGACTTCCCTGAAGGAAAGTGTTTTCACTTTCCTTCAGGGAAGTGAAATATGTGGAGACGAGTGTGGAGTGGAAGCAAACATGTTGCCTTTTGCCGAGTCGTCAAGTGCATTCCGTGTGCGTCAACAATGCTCCGACACTCTGGGTTGTAAGTGTTGTTCCTATGATGCACTTAAGGTACAGTTACAGTCACTCATGCAAAGTGCACCTAAGGTGCGCATGAGATACTTTGCATTTCAAAGTCTACCTACTGTAAAATACCCAACATCCGCCCACACCACTATAAGCACCCGCCCCTCCGGAAAAAACACGGACATACATTTTTTTATTATGTTGACCTGAGAAGCACCCATCCCCCAATTTCACAGGATTATCTCCAAATTTTGGGTGGGCGCTTGCTCGGGATTTTACAGTAGGTACAGTGAGGTTACCCACTCCAAAGGTGGGTAACCTCAAATCTTTTTGTTTTTAAAAATAGTTAAGAATACCGAATTTGACAGCAGTGATTGTGCGGTTAATGTCCTGCAGATGTTCAAGAAGACACAGCCTTGGAAACAATTATTTTCCACCAAAAAAATTTGTTTCTTAAAATACCGTATTTGTCAGTCAGTGCTGCGAGTCTGTCTCCTTCTTGTGTGCATGTGACTGTGACTGTTCATCCGCGCTGTTCCATCCTAGCATGAATTACCAACTTGCCCAAGCATCCACATTATCAAACTGTATTTAGGTTTCCCAATATCTGAAAGCTATTTCAACTAAGCTTCATTAATTTCTACCACTTAGGTAACATGTTGTCAATTAATTTCGGTGTCCCGGTCCTGTTTGAAAGATATTGATATGAACACCTTACGGTAAATGCCTTTTTCTTCATGTTACTTTTTTAGTGCTAATTTTATTTTACTTAAATCTTTCATTTGATAGTGGGTCTAATGGTTGTTTTGCTTGACTGATGTTTACTTAAAAATGCACCTGTGGAGTTGTTTTTTACTTTATTGACAGGGTGTCCAGCGACCGGGAAAACGGGGGAAACCGGGAATTGTCGGAGAAATTTTAATTACCAAGAAAACTCAGGGAATTGTCAGGGATGCTGTCCAAAACCTAGCCCAGTCAGGGAAAATGAGCCAGAAACGTCGTAGAGTTTAGGGGAAGTAAAATAGGCCATAAATTCTGCTTAGAGCAAATCGTGGGCTCTGCTCACCCGATGTAGAGTGTGCTACCCGATGCAAAGGGAACAGCTGACAAATCCAGTCCAAGTTTTGGAATGGATTGAGAGCGTGACACTAGGCTAGATCCAGTTAGAGCCACTAGATTTAGTAACAAATGGGAAAGCCGCAGACCCCAATCTGATCCAAGCCTTAAGCCGAAAGTATCCGAAAGTGTGCATTTGGCAGCCATGCTGCCATTTGGTTATTGACGTGTGTGGTTGAGCGTCGTGTTTCCGGAAATGGCCTCTTCACTGACGATGTAGGTGGCAAGGAAGTGCTTGTTTAACCCGGGACTTGACGAACCCGAATATTTCGGATTATGCAAGTTTGATTAAGCCTGTGCAAAATGATCCTCACGGTGTTTAATGTTCAACGTATTGTGTTGTAATGGTAATATATATTTAACTGCCTCTACAGTGTTCAGGGAATTTCACCTGAAATTGTCATGGAAAACCTGAAAAAGTCAGGGAATTTCAAAATAATAATTTGCTAGACACCCCGATTGATATCTTCAATATAAAATCTTAAGGCTTTATAGAAGATATAAAACACCTTAAGTCATTTGATGTTGCAGAACAATAATATTATAAAAAGAAATTGCTTAGAAATCTTTTTCACAGTCCCACTTTTCAAAATTTGTGCTTTGTAAATCTAGCATCATGTTAGATGCTGTAATATTTTGATAATGATAGATTGACTAAGCAATCTTGGCTTGTCCCCGTCAGGAACTGCCATAACTTCCTTCGCGATTAATGCATGATTTGTCGCTAAATGACTTTAAAAAGCAATATTCACCAGCTCTAGGTGCCAGCCTCTCTTTGTTGGGTCCTCTTTTCGAGATGCTTCAAACAAAGACACTTTGTCCTGAGCATTGTGCCGGTTGCGTTTTGACTGTTACTCTCCACTTTGCATTGTAGAAAGTGTCCATGTTACTCAGCGTTTGGATTGCAGTGCCTGGTATGGTTCTTCCATTTAAAGCCCTCTTGTGCAGATACGGGTCCACACTCATATTCATGGAGATAGCGGAAAAGTATGAGCAGGAAAGTAACTTGTCGTAGTTAAAAGTCGCCACAGAATGTACCCATATCCCTTTTTGTCCTGCCTCACGTTACAACTGGGCCATAGTTATATTAAAGATTCTTATGGTCATAGTACCCAAGTGAGTTTTTCGGGCTTGTCTTTTTTTTGTGCAGGAAAACCGGACAGCTGGCTGAAAGTCGTTTGTTTCGACAAGGGGTCGCATTACCCATTCATAAAGCAGCCAGACGTTTGTGCGGACGAAATCCTGCAGCTGCTTCGAAGGATAGGGTCCTTGTCATAATGTTCTTTCTACAAGGCTAATGACAAACATCTCCCTCTCCATTGTCGCACGGAGTGCTGCACCACGGTGTGGGTAGCAACAGACTACGGTACTTCCAAAAGTCCTTGCAAGCGACTCTGCGCATGTTGCATTATGGGACCTATCAGGCCATGGAGGGGAACGGCATTGTTTCGGTTTCGATTGCCCCGTTCATGAGCTAGTGCATCTCAGCGCTGTATGAAAATAAACTCGACTCTTCCTTGCATTGCATCCATTCATTTTCGTGAAAGTTCTGTTGAAACACTGACATCCAGCAGCTGTAAAGACCTGGCTAGACTTAGCGAGGAGTAGGAGTTGAGCCGGCCAGAGTGCAGCATGGCTCTCCTGGATTTCGGATCATTTTAAAAAGCCTAGGACATTGGGGAGACAGTGGAACAGAATGCTCGTCCCAGTATACTTACATGTGCTATCATAGTCCTGTGTTTACCTGCTAACAAACTCTGGCATGTTGGGAGCCAACAAAGAATGTGCCGTAGCATTCTATCCATATTGATGGGCCACACCTACAGTATTTAACATTTATGGGAAAGCCATATTCTGAAATGAAAGCACTGTATTTGGTCTTGATGGGACGTCGTGAAGCGAGGTTGGCAAATCGAAACCGAAACTTGGTGCTAAAGGGTTCCCAAGATGCTTTGCGCTGAAATAGGCCACTAGGATCGCTTTGTTTTTGCAAGGGATCTGTTAGAAACAGTGAAGCATTTTAACTTTCAGTCCCCTCCTGCATTCAAATCAAACAATCAAACGGTTTTAAGAAAGAGGGAGTCAACAGGTGAGCTTGTTGATGTTAGACATTAAAAAAACAAAACAACAACAACAACTGAGATGACGGACGAAGAAGGGGACAAACACAAAACGTCTCGAAACGTTTCTTGAGACGTTTTGTGTTTGTCCCCTTCTTCATTAGTCATCTCCATTTTTTTTTTTTTTTTAGAAGTCACTGTGATAAATATAGGCTGGTCAGAGTTCTATTTACAGATGCATCTATGTAGTTACAGAGGTCTTTGTCTCTCATGGACTTTCTGATACTTCCTAGAAATAAAGGCGGTTTTAATAGAATTTGTGGTGTACTTGCATCCTTCTTTGACCCATTTGTTTCGGATTGCAGCTCAAACACCTACTCGGAAACCGCTGCTCCTATTCCAACTCCGGTATGTAAGCACACTCCCGTCACATTCAACAAAATCGTCATGGGCGCCAACAAATTGCAAAATCTTTCCAGCAGAGATCAGAAAGCGTGAACAAACATTATTATTAATAGCGTGCCCTTATAAGACGAGTACGGCATGTCTAGTAACATGGTAAGTGAAGCATGGCTACCTCTTTTATCAAAATATAGATCAATGTTATATTCGCAGGCACTGGTAATTAAAGTTTGGGGTCGAACTATGACGGTAACCAAAGAAGGTTAACCTAGAATTGAGCAGGCTTTCCAAACCCATGGAGTCGACCGAGATGCTCAGACATGTTAGCCGTTTCTCCGATTGCACCGGTGCAAGGCAGCGAAGCTCGACGCGCGCGCGCCGGTACGAAGCTGTGAAGCTTGACGCTAAAACGCTGGTGCGATTCTACGTAGAAATAACCCAGAAATTCTGAAGACATCATTCGTATTTCTATAATATTCGATAAAACTCTCTGAAGACTTAGAACACCAATAGTGTGCTGCGAATTGAATCGAATGGCAAACACCATTCGTAAATTATTCGAAGATTAAAATATCGACGTACCCATCATTATGCCGGTTCGATTCAGTTTGACGCGGTTAACCTAGAGCAGGTCCGCTCCTTTTAAACGGCAGAAAGTGGGAATCTAATGTGTTGTGGGCCACCCTCGCTCGATTCAGTTTGCGTTTAGGCAGGGCTCGAGGAAGGGGTTTTCGGCACACACTCGCGACAACAAGTCCCAACTCTGACATTTCCGTGATGAGAGTCCACAGGCAGTGGTGATAATGTCGCGTGCTTACGCGCTGGCAAATTTGTCGAGCCAGCAAACTTGGCGGTCCTAATGAAGACCGGAGATGAAGTGTCCCCGCCTAAATACGAACAAGGCACGCACAACGCGCTGTCTTAAAAATAAATGTGCCGCCCTCCTTCCCTTGGAGCACGCTCTCCGCAGCGTTCCTAAATACATTTTTATTTTTTTATTTTTCAAGCACCGCGGTGACCTCCGACTGCCGCGCTTTTCGTCGTTTTTTCGAAGAGGGAGAGCGGGCACTTCGCTGAGCAGCGCTGCGCTGAGCCGCCCAAAGCAACCGACGCCGACCGATACCGCAGTGCCGGGCGCGTAGCGATGCCCATACATTCGTTTGTGCTGCGGAATGTGCGGCACAAGGTTGCCGCTTTCATAGTTTAAAAGATGAACTGTCTTACGTCGTAGTCGACTTTAGATATTTGGAATAAATATGCGGTTATACACGCGGCGAGAAACCTTAGTATAAAACAAAAATAAGGGCTGGTTTCGGTTTTAGCAGACGACGCGCGCGACGTTACGAACTCCCGCGAGATCGCGCTGCACGCCAACGAAAGAGAACAAGAGGGGCGCGATGGTAGCGACACCTGGAACGATCGTCTGCTAGCTTTTCGCCAAAGGGCGCCATTTTCGGCAAGCTCCTCGCTCTCCGCAATTCGAGGGCGCCCGATACTGGAGTTTTTCTAAACACATTTTCGACCGTGTATCCCCACCCTTCGCGCCCATCGACTTCCAGCGCCGTACCGCGCAACACACGTCGCGAACCCACGACACAAAGCGAAAGCAAGCGACGTCGGTGGTGCGCCGCGGTGGCCCGTCGACTCGCCAAAGCCGACGATGCACGGGCTGCTCGAAAGCGACGCCAGGTTTCCCGGCTCTGGGACTCGTGCTCCGTCCACGCTGCAGCTCGTCGCGATGTCTTGAAGAGGGCCGTGTTGTCGTGCCGCGTCGCCCCGCCACTATGCGATGCGGACGTAGGCGACAGGGCACCTCCGCGACCGGGAACCTGGCGGTGCGCGGACATCGCGCCAGGTTCCTCGGCCGTCTTGTTTACGTCGGGCCGCCGGGAGGCCCGGCTCTCGTGCTCGGACTGGTGCGTCGCCGGCGCCTTCGCCTGCTGCTCGGATAACGGCGTCTAGGGTCCTAGCTGAGCTAGTCAAGATGCTGCGAGGAATGCCCGGCTCCGGAGGCCTGGGCGGGCCCTGGGACAAACTCATGTCCAAGTTCTACCGCCACCAACAGCAGAACTCCGGAAGCAAGGAGAACAGGTGGGAGAGTCCAGTGACCCTTTGTTTCCTGACGGCTCTTTACATTGCGCGAGGAACGCATACAATAATGATGACCAGCTTCCTCGAGGCTGTTTCAGACTTTGAAGATCTCTAAGCGCTTGTCAACTGAGGCTTCCAGGAATACCATTGTCAATAAGCGCACCCTTCTCGAACCTAGCGTTCACATTCATAACACACGTACAGGGGTTGTGGACTACTGCGGTACAACGCCAACACCGGTCAGCTGATGGTGACTGTCCTTGGCTATGGGTCAAGAACTTATTGCACCACCAAGTATGTCAACGCCACACGCTTCAGTGGGGACCGTGCCTTGGCGCAGTATGCGGAGCGCAAATTCGTCTGCTTCTTTTGCCGGGAGTTGTGGCGACGTCAGAACGCCCAGCTCTGAATGGCTCTGATTGAAGGATAGTGGTAAGGTGGTTAGTTGGGCGAGTTGGCAATGATTGAATTAACCATGTTCGAAAGATAATGGGTATACCTCAAAGCAAGCCGCCTTGAGATGTGCCCACTATCTTTCAATCGGAGCTCGGCGTTCTGATGTCACCACAACTCCCGGCAAAAGAAGCAGACAAAATTGCGCTCCAGCAAAAAAAAGAAAAAAAAAAAAAAAAAAAAAAAAGAAAAAAAAAAACGTTTCTTGGAGAACGGGACAAAGGAAGCTGTCCAGCTCGCCTCCATCTTCGCATTAATTGCATTAACCCCCAGCAGAAATTTGCCCCTGCTGTTTAAAGCGGCGAGATATGCCTGAAGCCAACACGAAAACCAACTAGCGTCCCGTTCGGCAACAGTAGTGCCCGCCAGTATTAAAGACCGACGACCAGTTCGCGCTTTCCACTTTTCCCTTGCTTCCTCCTCTCCCCCTTCTACCCTGTCCACCGTTGCCTGTTTCCTCCTCCCCCATGGTTAGGAGAAGGATCTTCTGCCTTGCAGAATCTCGTGTTTGGTTGTCGGCCTTTAACTGCGTGCGACGTGCACTTCATATTCGTTCAGAGAAAACGCTGGACCACGTTTGACTCCTACCGATCCCCTTTTATTTTGGTGCTTTCAAGTGATACAACAGAGCCATGACAATAGGTCACGTGCAGCTACGTTTGACATCCCGCGGGCGTAGTGGGCCACACGAAAATGCCCGAGGCTAGCTCCATTTCGTGCTCATTTGTATCATCGTTACCTTCTGTAACGATGATACGAATTGTGGTTGGCACACTTACCTCAGACAACGAACCATTCCTGGCTTACTCGTTGGAGGAATTTATTTATTCATAATACCTTACATGCTCCTTGAGAGCATTTGGTAAGGAAGACTAAGAAAATAGAAAATTTCAAAATATAATCAAAGCAACGCTCACGACAAGAAAGCACAAAATCAATTGAAAATAAATACTACTGATTATTTAACAGAAAAAAATAATCAAACGACAGTAGTACGTATACAGCAAAATAAATACATGTGGTTACACTTGCAATGCAGCAAGAAAAACAAAAAGATATATTAAACAAATGTCTATGCAACATCTTTGATCTACCTCAAAACTAGAATGCAGTAGACAAAAAAAAAAAAAAAAGGCATGGGAGTAGTTGAATTGTACGTATTACAGATTGGTTGATGTATGCGTTTGTCGAACCCGTTAGACGTTAAAAACACTCACTGTTTTAATGCGATGGAATGATCTGTTAGGTGGTTGAAGGAAAGAAACACTCGAGAAACGGTGATTGTAATATACCCCATGAATTAGGTACAGAGGAGAAATAGTCAGACGGGCCCTTCAAGCGAGAATAGAGAGCGCTGACTTTTCGGGAGAGAAATTAGTTGAACAGGAAGATGTTATGATGAAGCGTGCTGCTTGATTCTGGACTGCCTCAATGCGAGAGGTATTTCTGATGGTGCCTCCAGATCTCTGATGCATTTTGCGTAGTGGACGTAGCTTTGTTTTGGTATGCATCTA